GTCTCCAAAAAAAATAAAAAAAGAGAGAGATGAATGAGATTTTCCTCACTGTTTCTAAACCTGGGAGCTCTACTGCATCTCGGATCCTTCCTCTTAGGAAAGCCTAATGAACAAATTCATACTCAGATGTTTAAGTTTCATGGTATTTGTTTACTTGAAAATATTAGCCTTTAAAAATGACACCAGGGGAAATGGAGACAGTTTATACCGCTAAATGAGTCGATAATGGTCATTGGTCATGTTAAAGCATCAGTTGCAGAACTATTTCAGAGCACAGACACTTGGAATATCTGTCAAATATGCCACAGGAGCAGATATTCCTAACTCTTTGCCAAATCTGTGTTCTTGTCTTCTTCCTGGACACACAGGACTTCTCATTTCGTTTGGGATAGTTATATTAAGTGATTTCTAACTAAAAGAGTAAGAGTGGAAATGATGTGTACTACTTGAAGACCTGGCCCATAGAAAGCTTCCATGCACTCTTTTCAATGTTTGTTTTCTCCTTGTGGTTGAGTCAGTCACAGAGACTATAGAAGCCATATGTTGAAGATGACCCAGTCTTCATTAGCCTCTGTCCCTTAGTGACTCCAAAAAGAAGAACTATCAATTAATCTACACATTCACCCAAGACTGTTACGAAAGCAACAACTATACCACATTCCTTTTAGTTTGTTAAATGGGTTGAATAATCCTAATCTGAAAAGTAAAATGTTCTAAAATCTGAAACTTTTTGAGTACCAAAATGATGCTCAAAGGAAATGCTCATTGGACCGTTTCAGATTGGAGCATTTCAGATTTCAGATTTTAGGAAGGTTCAACTGATAAGTATAATGCAAATATTTCAAAATCCAAGAAAATCTGAAATGGAAAACACTTCTGGTCCAAGTATTGCTGATAAGGGATACTCAAACTGAATATTTGGAGGCCTACTTGTTACAGCAGCAAGAATTAACCTAACTGATACAGCCATGTTGTTTATGGTGTATACTTTGCTGTACACACAGCCTGACCAACTTCTTTGCTGATGAAGGGGTGGAGAGACCACTTTGTGAAGAGAACACTCCGCAAAAGAGGTGACGAAAAAGTTGGAGGATAAATCATATGCACTGTCTTATAAATCACTAGAGTCCTACAGTTTGTTCAATTTTTCTCACCTGAAGGTAAAAAAAGTGCAATGGTTTCAGTAAGGAGTCTCTGAAATAAACAAAAGATTGTCATTCTCTGAATTGATTTTTTTTTTATCAGCTTTTTTCTTGGTCTTAATCTTTACTCTAGTCTGAATGTTTATGTATCCCAGAATTTATTTGTTGAAATCCTAACCCGCAATGTGATGATATTAGAAGGTGGAGCCTTTGAGAGGTGGTTAGATCATTTGGGCAGAGCCCTCACAAATGGGATTAGTCCTCTTATAAAAAAGACCCCACAAGCTTTGCACAGGGGCAGTATTATAGCCAATGAGGTTTTATCCTAGACATGATCATTGCTAATTGAAAACTTTTCCTAATAGGCCACTGTAACAATTTGCAATATATTTGGCATTGGCAATTTTTGAAAGTCTCTATGGAGACTGAGGAAAAAAAGGGGCCCCACAGTGCTAGCTCACCCCTTCTACCATGTGAGGACACAGCTAGAAAGTGCCATCTGTGAACCAGGAATGTGCCCTCTCAGAGTACTGAATCTGCTGACCCTGTGGTCTTAGACTTTCCAGGCTTCAGAACTATGAGAAATAAATTACTGTTATTTACAAGCTACCCAGTCTATGGTATTTTGTCATAGCAGCCTGAACAGCCTAAGACAGTCTGTATTTCCCTCATTGGATGTTGGCTCCATGAGGGTAAAACCTTTGACTTGTTTATTGCTGCAGCTCCAGCTCCTAGAAGAGTTCCTAGAATAACAGGCATCAATATGTATTTGTAGAAATAGAAATTAATACAATGAATGTGAGATGAATAAAGATAAATTTATCTGGTGAGACTTTCCACCCTGAAACTTGTCCAGGAGCTTTCAGCTGGCAGAGAAAGAATTTCTTCTGACATAGATATGTGATTAAACATAAAACAAATGCATATGAGATAGTCAATTTCTAAGTATCATTTCACATTATAAGATACATCTATCACACATATCTAGAGACTAAAGGCAGCTAACAAGTTTTCTGAGTACAGATGTCCCTTTACGTGTCATTCTCATCTCTCATCAGTGTCACTTTAACTCAGAGGCAGCTTTCCAGCTCTGAGCTTGCACAAATTTACCACCTGATGGCAAAGAGCCATGTATTTGCTCCCTCCTTACTATTCCAAGCAGATGGCTTAGAATTAAATAGCCAATAAATCACGACGTCCATGTGTGAGAGGATCCAGCTACAAAGTGTTTATTTAGTTGTAAAATTGGTCTGTTGCTGCCAACCAGATACAATGACTTAGTCTAAACGTTTGAGTAATTAGCTGTATACATATCTTCTTTCCTTTTTGGAGTTTTGGCTATTGATTGTTAATTCATTTATGGATTAGTTAGGGTTCTTCATAGAAACAGAATCAACAGGATGTGTGTATATATAGAGAGAAAGAGATTTATTAGGGAATTGGCTCATACTTTGTGGAGACTTGGCCAGTCCAAAATCTGATGGGGGAAGCTGGCAGCCTCCGAAAAGCTGTAGTTCAAGTCCAAAGGCAGTCTGCTGGCAAACAAGGGAAGAGCCAAGGTTGCAGATGAAATCTAAGGCAGTCTGCTTGGAGAATTCCCTCTTACTCTGGAGACGTCAGTCTTTGTTCTGTTCAGGCCTTTCACTGATTAAATGACACCCACACACACTGTGGAGGGCAATCTGCTTCACTTAAAGTCCACCAAGTTAAATGTAAATCTCAAACAAAGACACCCTCAGAGAAATATCCAGAATAATATTTGAGCAAATACTTGGACATCATGGCCAGCACAAGTTAACACCCACAATTAACCATCACAGTTTGCTTGCGTGCTTTCTTCCTCGTTTGTTTTTGGTTGTCTTTTCTTTGCTTCAATTCTCTTAGGTCCTTGAGGTCATTGTTTTTGCCACAGGAGTCATCTAACATTTGAACCTGGAAAGTTCTGAGCCCACATTCCAGCTTCCCCACTGGCTTGCCCAGTAACAGTGTGCTTTACCACTTAGCACCTCTAGTTCTGCCTCTGTGAATGGAGATATTTCGGCTACCTAAGTCATAGGTTTATTACAATGAACAAATGCGACGAAAATATATTGACAAGCTCTATGAACATAAATTCATACTGAAACTATTAGTTGAAATTTTTATGCATTAGTTAAAATCAGTTATTAATAAAATTGTTTATGCATCAAAGGTCCTCCTTTTCAAAGCAAAAAAACGAGAAAGAAAATTCTGCATGCGAAGCGCATTACAGCTGAGTAACTGGCTCATTAGAATAAAGAAAGATCAAACTAATACAGTGAGTTTAATAGTGAGGGGACAAGGATTTTAAGGGCAAAGAGAAGTTTTAAAGACCACACCAGATGATTGGTGAAGAGGCCAGGAGCAGTGTCAAAATTATAGTACACAGAATATTTACGTCTAAAGTCAGCCCTCTCGGAAGTGAGCACACTGTCGATTTCTCTCCAGTGCACTTAGCCCTGAGGGGATGCCGGGTAGTGTGGAGATGCTGCGACAGCTGGAACAAGGGGGGCTCAGAGCACGTGAGACTGTCCATGAGAAGCTACACAACAAGACGGGACAGGGCTTATCACTTGCCCACCTACAACGTACAATCAGCCCTCGAACACGAGGGGTTTAAAATGCACAGGTCCACTTATATGCAGATTTTTTTCAATAAACATAGTCATCCCTCTGTATCTGCAGTTTTCACATCAACATCCAAATGTGAATCAAAGACACAGGATACAGAGAGCCAGCTTTTCGTATCTGTGGGTTCCCCAGGGCCAACTGCGTGATCTGAGCATGAAGGTATTTCGGTATCTGCGGGGGTCCCGGAACCAATGCCCCATGGATACCAAGGCAGGACTGTACAATTAATGCCTTATGTGTGATCCTGTGAGCTGAGCTATCATGGGACTATCAGTCTCCACCACTCGGGGCACGGGGTCTCTACACCTCACATTTCTGACCGGACTCCTTACAACTCCAGAAAGTACAGGAAGTTTTCCCTCACTTCAGTCTCAGATTCACTTGCCCAGACCTCATTTTCTGCACCAAGGCAGACCTCTTCTGACATTTTAGATTTCAATTCCCTTTAGAGAAAATGGCAAAACCACTCTCAGAGGGCCAGCCTTTCCCTTTGGCCCCTCCAGGTCGATAGTGCAACATCCGTGCCATTCCCAATGTCAGTATCCATCAGTCTTCAACAACTCCATCTGGGGACAAAGGCAGGAATTTATTAATATTAAGCTCAGGTCAGGCCTATTTCTTGCCAGAACTTCCTCTCCAAAAGTTTAAAAAAACCTTGGGGTCATATCTCACCCAAGGTCACTTATTACAAAACCATGTCATGTGTACTCACAAACAGCCTGTTAATAGAAATTAGTAACTGTTCCTGCTTGAAGCTTCTTGAACCAGCTTCGAGCTTAATGGAGCCATTTTCTCATTGAACTGAAGATTAGGTGGTCCAGAAAACCTTGAGAGGACACAGAACCAAGACCCAGTAAAGACCGTATTATAAGCACCTTGCAATCTTCTTGCTGTATAAAAAACAGTGCAATTTCCTCTTCATTAATAATAAACATGTGTACAGTTAAAAGCAGCATTGTGTTTTTGAACATGTCAGATCTACTTTGATACTCAATATGCAAAGATATTTACAACTGAAATTTTTTTTTAATTCCATAAGAACCGGAACAAAGAGGAGTTTATTGTGTGCTTTTATCCTTTGTAATAATAGATGGATGGTTAACTTTGTTGGTGCAGCTTTGCACAGTAGACAGTTCTGTTTCAAAATGTGCAAAAAAAATCAGTTTTATGAACACTTTGCTCATATCGCTTCTCTGCCACTTTCCCTAGGAATGCCCCAGTGGTGTTGTTAATGAAGAAACCTTCAAAGAGATTTACTCGCAGTTCTTTCCACAGGGAGGTAAGTACAAATGTGGACTTGTTAACATACTCTCAGAGTTAGAATTATGCTTGCAATTTTGAGTTTGGTTTAATTTTTCATAGGATGACTCTACATTTTTAATCTTTACGTAAAATAATTAATTCACAGCATGCGAGTTCATATAATTTTTAATGTATCATAAATGCAAGCTATTTACAAATTATCAAATATCCAAGAGGTTACTCTTTAGTTTAATCCAACACATACGACTGTGTGCCTAGTGCTGCAGCTCTCAAATGCAAAATTCTTTCTGACTATTACGAGGGTCCTCAAAATGTCACAAAGCTCTTTCATATGCATTATAGGTCCCATTTGATTCCTCCAACTCTCAAAATTAGGACAAATCTAATTATCCTCAATTTACAGATGTGAAATCTGGGGCTTAGCAAAGTCAAATGGTTTGCTCAGGGCCACATATTGACTAAGTGGCGGATCTGGGTTATGACCCAGATTTTCTGTAGCCCACCTAGTGTACTGTCGGCTGTCCCTCCTTCAGTACTTCTATTATTCCCCCTGCATCTGACAAAATTAAAATCACCCTAGACATTATTTTAATCGAAAAGAAAACACAAGGATAGAATAACGATAATACATGCACAGTAGATATGAGTGAAGAGATATACTTGCCACTGGACCTTATAGTTTTTCTTTCAGTCACCCAACAGATGCCCAGCTCATACTTAGGACACAGCCACCTGTGTGCCCAGCCATGTGTGAGGTGCTGATAATGTGGGAGGAACAAGAGGAATAGGATGTGATAGAATGTTATAGTCTATGGGGGTTAAAAAATAGTATTCTGAGAACACAGTGTAGGCGTAATTAGACCAGCTGAAAAATAGGGAGGAAATGAAAAAGAGGCTATTCAGATAAACTGAACCTGAGCCGAAGTTGATGCCTTACCCCTCACCATCCAACAACCCTAGCTATGACCCTCCTTTTTTTTTTTTCTTTCCATAAGTGTGGAAACTAAGATGTAGAGAGTTCAGTCCTTTTCCAAAGCATATAGTCTTTCACTCCCCAATCCTACCTCCCAGGAGAAGCTTTACTTCTAAGTCTGATGTCTTCCAGCTTAAAAGGCAGTAGGGACATGACATTTTAGGCAAATGAAGTGTAAGCAAAGGGTGAGCGCATCATACTGTGCGTAAGCATTTACAGGAAATTGCCATGATGTGGGAGTAGCTGGGGCAGGGAGTATGTGGTAGAGATGGAAGCATCCTAGAGACGCATGGATGCTGTGTTAAGAAACAGGGACTCTATGCTTGAGGTGATACAAAGCTACTTCTGATAGGTTGAAACAGGAGCTGTTACAGGCAGATTAGCGTTTGGGATATGTTCCCCTGATAGCTCTGTGCAAGACTAACTTGAAACTGGCAATGTTGCAGGCAGGGAAAATAATTAGAACGTTATTGCCAGGAGGCGATAAGGTCTTTAATCAGAACATACATAGTAGGAATGGAGAGGTAGGGACAGATTACAGACATATTTAGATGATAAAAATAGCAGAATTTGGAGATTGACTTTTTGTGGCAAAAAGAAATGGAGAGAGGAATTTGTTATAAATTCCAGGATTCTATCACAGACACTGGGTGATTAGTCACAGGCTGAGTGGTGGGACAGCAATCTCAATTTTGGACAAATTACATTTGACATGTCTGCGGGGATTTAGCCTCAACAAAAAGTTGGTACAAATCTGAGGCTCATAGGAAAAGTCAGAGAAAGAGACGAGATTTGAGAATTATTAATCAAAAAGTGGTGGTTAAATCATGCTGTAGATGAGGTTACTGGGAGAAGGATAGAAGGTGGTGAGCCCCATGAGTCAAGCGGGAAACTCCAGAACACACAGAAAGGACCATGAGAAGGAAAAGTGATCCCTGAAGGAGACAGAGAATCACCAGCAAGAGATGTGGGAATAAGCACAAGAGAGATCGATAGTTCAGAAACGAAGAGAATGAAGGCATTAAACGCTAGAGCCAAGAAGTCCAGTCAGGTAAGGACTGGAAGGTGTCCTTGGGATGCGGCAACATGGAGACCATTGCCGAGCGTGGTCAGAGCAGCTTTAATCACGAGCTAGGGCCTGGAGCCCACAGCAGAATCCACCTTGCAGGGAGTGAAAGAAAAAATGGAAAGAAAACAGAGACAATCCGTAGAGACAGCACTTATAAGAAACTGGGCTGGACTCGTGAGGAGATGCGGAGGAAGTAAATAATAGTACCAGGTAGATACAAGTGGAGTTGTTTATTTTTTAACACATTAACTGCCACGAGAGTTGTATTTGACTCGCTCTGGTTTTGAGCCTGGGGCCACGTGAAGCATATATAAAATCTTATTTGTTGATGTTCTTATTGTTACAATTAATATTGACAACTTAATTTGAAAAGTATGGGTTACATGAATAGAAGTAAATAAATTTTGTTTTAAATTGTTAAATTTTGTTTTTTCTATTTATGTTTACCTTTAAATTATACTCGAAGTGTTTATCCTATTTTCATAATAAAACACTTTGGCCCCAAGGAAAAGTTTCTGATTTCTTTGTGCGGCAGTCAATGTGTTAAAATGGAAAAGGCTGCAATTTGTTTATATACAGAGAAGGAGCTGGTGAAGAGGGAGACATTAGTAGCTTAAGACAGAGGAGAGATCGTGAGTAGAATCCAGACCTGGAGGAGATAGTAAGGGGTGGGGTAGAGGGAGGAGCTAACCAGGAGTTGAGGAAGAAGGCTTTACCCCAAACAGGAAGGGGACCATCTAGTCCTTCACTTAAACTTTGACCTCTTCTCAACACAGGAGGCAGTTGTTGCTCCTCTCTGTGGTTGTGGCCAGAGCTACTCTGCCATTGACCTTGCCAACACATGTTTTTACTCCTTTCCACTTAAAGGAGCCACCATCATCTCCAGCCAAAATAACCGCAGCGGTCTCTGAACTGGTCTCTTGGATTCTGACACCCCCTCTCCGAACCACGGTCCATTCTGAAAATGAGCCAGAGTGATCCTGTTAAAACCCAGTCCAGATCATGTCGCTGCTCAGCTCAAAACCTTCTATCCCATCAAAGCATAAGCCACAGCCTATGTAGTGGCATACAAGTTGTGGCCACTGTCCCTTGTCCCCTCTCTGTTGTGTCCTTTACCGTTCTCCCACCCGACTCACTCCACCCCAGACACACTGGCCCCCTTACCATCTCACAAGCACTCCAGCCGGGGTGCTGCTCCTGGGCCTTTGAACTTGCTGTTCCCTCTACTTGAAATTTTCTTCTCCCAAATATCCGTCTCGATATCTCACCACCTTTTTTTTTAATTTGTCTTTTTATTTATTTATTTATTTCAGGATATTATGGGGCTACAAACATTTGGTTACATGTTATGATTCTGCCACACCCAAACCATGATTTGAGGCATGCCTTTTCCCCCCTACAATGCTCACCGCATCCATTAGTTGTGAGTTTACCCATCCCCAACCCCCCAATCCCTAAAGTATATTACTAACGTGTGAGAACCTTAGTGTTGATCAGTCAGTGCCAATTTGATGGTGAGTACGTGTGGAGCCCATTCTTCCATTCTTGTGATTCCTCACTTCGGAGGATGGGCTCAAGCTCTATCCAGGAAAATATAAGAGGTGCTAGATCACTGTTGTTTCTTATAATTGAGTAGTATCCCATTGTTTTACTCAAATGCCACCTTTCAGTGAGGCCTTCCCTCAACACTCTTATTTTAAATTGCAATGCCTTGAACTTTCCCTGCTTTATGTTTCTCTGCACTCAAGACCATCTAATAGTATATATTTCACTCACATTGTTGTTTTTTATTGTCTTTTTCCCCACTGGAATGTCAGTTCCAAGGGAACAGAGGATTTCTTTACTTTGTCTGCTGTTGTATGCACAGGTCACGGGACAGTGACCTACAAGAAACAACACTTGATAAATACTTATTATTAATATATTGATGTATGAATGAACCCACCTCACATGGTGGTCTTAACTGTACATTGGTATGGCATTTTGAAAAGGATATGCCACTTAAATATCAGTTGTTTCATACAAATTTAGATTCCCTTTTGCATTTTAATTCATTTCATTGCAGGGATGTTAGTAGGTTTGAGATAATTTTATGCATGAATTGTCAAAACAGGTATTTTTATTAAAGATGGTCTTTTAAAAGAATTAAATTAGAGTTTTGAGAAAACATAGGGAAGCCCATTCTTACACGTAGTTGGATATTCCTGGGGTGACAACTGCTCCACCCCATCTTAAGCACAGGGAAATTCTGTCCTAACAGACCACGCACAGCCATTGGTTATGGCTCCTGATGCCAGGATTGTAATGGGTCCAGTGTCTACATTAATGAAAGATTAATTTGGGATATTATGTAATTACCTCATGTATGTCCAAATTATGTAAAACGCATGGGATTTTTTCACAAAAATAATGTTTACCATCTGAGTGTCTACCAACATATCAATAGGCATTAATGTCAAAACACCAACACAGATGGAAATCTTTAAGTTATTTTTTATTATTTCAAATAAAGTTATTACATGGTATAAATTAGATATGGCTCCATATTAAAATTTTATCTTTGTTCGAAGAATAACATCCCCACATTAGAGAACATCTACATGACTAGAGAACAACTTTGCAAAGGATTCTTGTTACAAAATCCAAAGAGATTTGAGGAAAAAAATCACTTTAGTCCTTTTAAAAATTCTTTGATTATTCATGTTAATTGAATGCGTAAATCTAAAAGCACGAGGCATCACTAAAGGAAATGAAATATTTTAAGGAATGATGATTTGCAATTTTAATAATTAATGTCATGCATGCCAACTGTTTCTTACATGAGGCCAGAAAAGGACAAATGTCCTAAGGCAGAATGCAGTCTCTGAAGGCAGGCAAATTCATTTTGTGGGCATCCTCACACTTCTACAGAGGCATCGTTTATTCAGGTTGATGGACTGAAAACACCAGGTATCTCTCATTATGAACAGTAACA